TTGCAGTGACGCACTCGAGTCCGATTGCCATATCTGGATGATCGTCCCAGTTTCTGTCTACTCTACTTAATGTGGAGGAGAGTTCGTAACCTCCTGAGTCCACCCGCCCATCTCCTGAGCAATCTCCAGAATATCCTTCTTCGGCTGTCTGACCAATTGGTCATTCATTCAAATAAGAGGTCAGGCGGGCGTGTCGCAACTTGGTATCCATCACTCACATTCGCTCATTATGCAGCACCATTCGCCTTTTGAATCCCGCTTCGAGTACTTTCCTCCAACGCCCCCTCTGTCGGACAGTGAAGCTACAGACAAAGCTATAGACGACGAGATGGCGAACCTTGTCCCCCATACCGCCGGCCAGCAGACCGGCACATACCCCGGTACATCGGGTGCCCCCTCGAAGGTCACTCTGTCGCTTGGAAATTTACCTAGCAAAAAGGACTTCAAGGCTCCATGGCCCAGGACTCCGTCCAAGGTACGCGACGGCATTCCCTGTCAAATTCTTACTACTACTATCTCGACCTCAGATTGATCCTAATAATCCGCCATGGCCTGCGTACCGTGGTTATCATGAGTATTCATTCGCATATGCGACCATGGGTGTCCGTCTGCCTACCATCCTTGGAAAGGCTATCGAAGACACCATTCGCACTTTGAACGACCAATATTCTGAAGAAAGGATTGTCGACCTCGTAAAATGCATTGACCGTATGGACGATCTTATGGTCGACCTGAGCGGGAATGCAAAATTGCGTCCCATTGTAGACGATAACGAGGCAGATGTGGCGTTGTGGAACAAGGAGATTGCCAAGTACTTCCAGGGTATGTATAGTAACTCGGACCTTGTTGTAACGATAGACTAACTATAAGAGGTATCAGGCAAGGACTTTATGAACGCGCCTTGGTTGTTTGCTGAGGCATACAAATACCGTCGTCTTCACGAGTGCTTCAGCATAAGCAAATACTGGACTGATTATGACGTCTTCTACCGCCAAAAAGTATAGGGTTCCGTGCCGAATAAATTGTGTCACCCTAATTATTGTGGTATTTGCAGTGCGACACGTTCTCGCGTTCCTCGGAAGCAGTTTTTGAGCTGTCGATGCGTTTCGCTGAGCCCTTCAAACTTTCCTCAAACCTGTCCGAGAACGACAGGTATGATGCCGAGAGGCTTATGTTCCTAGAGCTTACTCAAGGTCTGTGATTTCTATACATAAAACGAATTTTTGTCTTAATGTCTACCTCCACAGTCTGTCTTTGGGGCAACTCGACCGATCTGTCCCTTTTGATCAATATGACCGAGGAACAAATTAAGTCCCTTCAGTCAACAGGTGGCGACCACCTCGCTGCGACCGAGAAAAACATTCTCGGAAACCACCTCCATCAGCTCTGGGAGTGTGTTAAAGTGATGCGTGACAACACGGGCGGCAGAGTCGACTTTGTACTTGATAATGCTGGATTCGAACTCTATTGCGACTGCGTCTATGGTAATGCCGATCAATGTTGAATTCTATCGGTACATTGTTTTGATTGCTATACAGCCGATTTCCTTATTCAAACCGGACTCGCCACGCAAATTCGATTCCACGGGAAGCGGTTCGCGTGGTTTGTATCGGATGGTACGGTTTTCTCTTCAAAACTTCAATCACCTGTCTAATGGGAAAATGACACAGTGACCAAAAAGGATTGGGACTGGCTGCTAAATACCATGGTATACGGCCAACTATTCCCCAAAGCTTCCGATGCCGAGAAGGAGTCTTTGAGAAGGCTCGGTCGTAGGTGGAAGGTCCGTGTTTGAGGAACAATTGTTTTACATATATCTTCTAACGCTTATTTTTTACTGTAGCAATACGAAGAGGAAGGAAAATGGGTATACGAACAGCACCCCTTTTGGTGTACCGGTTACACCTTCTGGGAGCTGCACACAGAAGCGCCTGACCTTTTCCTCCATCTTTCTCGCGCCGACCTCGTCATTTTCAAAGGAGACCTCAACCATCGTAAACTCACGTACGACTGTGCGGCGCCTGCGAGCACGCCCTTCGAGGTTGCCATCGGACCAATGGCGAATGCCTCTGGAGCTCCGAAGGTTTGCAGTCTAAGGACTATCAAAAGTGATGTCGTTGTTGGATTGGGCGATAGCGGGGATGAAGTTGCGGAGAGGTTGGATAAAGAGGAGCCAGGATGGAAAATCAGCGGGAAATACGTGAGCGTTTAACGTCATGTCTGGTTACTATTCGTGCTGAACTTTTTTAACTCCCTTAGGCTGTTGTTCTGCTCTCGGAGGGCCGTCCTGGAGAGCCCGTCCGCTTCGCCTGATCAACTTCTAAACGTTATGCAGATTATGTACCCTATTTCGCCGCTCAATTCTCGAGATCAAACTTCTTGAAAGCGTCGGTATCAGTAATATGTGTAGACCTTTGTCATTCCTTCCTTAATGTATGTCCTAGACGGCAGTCTCGTTTGTTGTTCTTTCTGCAGTGCCATTGAGAGCAATAACACATGTAAATGCCTTTTTCAGCAGTATATATTCAACCTTTGGTGTTCTAATGTTCACTGGTGGACTTCGTAGGGAGAGCTGTAGAGGTCGTCTAGAATTGTAAAATCTTATCTCCACATTATGGCCGAACTTGGAGTGACTCCGTGGGCGCCTGTTGCTAGTCTTCTACCCGATCAGGATCCACTGATCCTTGTACTGATATCGGTCTGCTGCACCCTACTAAGATCGACCAGAAATGTCTAAGGATCCACGGACAGTAGTTATCATAGGTGCTGGCGTGATCGGTTTGACCATTGCCCATGTCCTCTCCAGTGACCCGTCCAATGCATGCGAGATCGTAATGATTGCACGCGACATGCCAGAGGATATAGACTCACAAGGATGGGCGAGTCCTTGGGCAGGTGCCAACTGGACTCCAATGCCCATGGGAGGTTTAGACGAACGAATTAAAAGGTGGGAAACGGTGACATTGTGAGTTACTCTATGATGTGCCGGACACGACGATCTTGCTGTTGATCAAACTTATTTGGGATCAGCAATAAATTGTGGGATATGATACCGACTGGGTTGGTGAAGGTGAATATTCATGTCTACTTCTATTTGGTCGATATCGGACCCTCGAATTTGTAACCGCCACATATACAGCCGCTTCCATCACGCATGTATTCCGATCAAGAAAATAATTTCGTTGACCCTTGGTACAAAGACCTTCCCCGAGACGTGAGCGCTTGAGCATTTGAGTTTTTGCATACGAAAAGACAACATTCCAACAGTTCCGGGTGCTTCCTTCCCATGACATTCCATCTGTATACAAATCAGGCATAGGATTTACTACTATTTCAGTCAACCCGTCAGTCTACTTGTCCTGGTTAAAGTCGCAGTTGGAATCCCGCGGTGTCCAGTTTGTTCGTAAGAAACTTCGAAGTATCGAGGAGGCTGCTGACGCTGCAGGACCTGACGGCATCGTTGTTAACGCGACATCCTTGGGTGCGCAGAAATTATGTCTGTGACATTTGGGCTGAAGAATAATTTTGTGACAGGGGCTCGTTCACTCATAGGCGTTCAAGACACTAAGATGTACCCGGTCCGTGGGCAAACAATTTTAGTACATGCACCTCATTTACGCGAGTTCCTGGGGGAAGCTGAAGGTATGCCTGATTATGATGATTAATTTGTCCTGTGAAGTTCAGAACACCCGTATCAGTTTATCCTAACGGTGGCGTGACTTACATGATTCCTCGCCCCGGTCCGGACAGTACAGTCTTGCTAGGAGGAACAACCCAAGCACATAATTGGGATACCTCATACGACAAAGAAACTTCAGACCAGATATTTACGCGTTGTGCTGCACTTGAACCCCGACTTCTTGAAAAAGACACAGTACATGTATTGAGCCATAATGTTGGTTTGCGACCTGCGAGAGAAGGTGGGCCGAGAGTAGAAATTGAATGGATGAAGCTACCACTTGAAGGAAGGTTAGTGCCGCGAATGGACAGTGCCATTCCGCAGGCAAGAAAGGTGTTGGTGTTGCATGCCTATGGGTTTGGGTAAGTGCAGCACCCACTTTTGAACCATTTGGAACAACTCAGACAATTTTGTGTACAGTCCAGCTGGGTATCAGGAATCCTGGGGAGCAGCAGAAGAGGCCGTGAATTTACTGAAGTCCTCAATTTTGAGGAGTGGGTCAAATTGATGAGAGCCTGTTGTGTCTGTACATTTTCACTCTTGTACAATAATTAGTGGAACTCCACACTTTCCATGCACAACAAGGTAGTCATTTGGAATATGTTTTACTATCTGCTTGAGCAAATACATGCAGGAATTGTAAGCTTGCTTACCTGAGTTTCCATAATCAGTATAAATACTGTCCAGTAGTCAACAGTACAACTGTTGATTATTCTGCCTTTTGGTGTAACTGCATTTTGTGGTGGACAGTCTTTGCATGCTTACAAGAATTAATGAAAAAGGGCTGACATAAATATGAGTATCAAAAGGGCAATTGTGGTGGTGTTCAGAAGGGACCATTCAGTAAAATGGGAGCCATGAAATGACTGTTGCATTTCAATATAAATGGGTTAGGACATCTGGGTTGCTGTCACTATATTGGCAGAGAATTTGTGCTGACAGGTCAAGAGATGCTCTGGTTGTACAAAGGTGTGGGAAAGTCCAACAAATTTGCCTCTGTAAGCTGTACATGGCTCCTTCAATACAGCTCAAAAAATCCTCAAAAAATGCTTGAATTGTTACTAGTATATAATACTTGTTGAGATGATAGAGCTTAAAAAGGAATAAAATTTGGCTGAGTTGATCAGGATATTGCTTGTACAAATTGGTGCACAAATAAATTGTTTGAAAAACATCACCAACCCCACAGATGTCCTACTCACCCATACAACAGAAGTAACAGATAATAAAGCCTGAGAGTGAATATGAACCAAAATATCATGAGAAAGTAATGCCAATAATTGATTCTTTCAGCATTACTCAGTGTTGACCATGTTGTAAAGGCTTCCTGGTGTAAATGGTTATCACGTCAGTCTAACAACGGTCCAATTGGACCGGTTAATCACTGAAGGTACTCGGATCGATCCCGGGGGAAGTCAATAGTTTTGATTGGAGGGGTTTGGTCTGTGCCTTTTTTTGAGCCCTAGCAAGTCTTTCCGCTCATCGGATGGCTAGTTCCGTTTTATTTATTTATTTTGGCGTGCATATGGCCCAGACAAATACACCATTGCTTGCAGAATGGTACTTCGGTTTTGTTAATGTCCGAAGTTCTGACAAACGCTCCTGTGTGACTGTTACGCGGATTTTTCGGTCTAAGGAAATTGCGTGACAGCGAGTCTCTCACGACATACTTTTTGCGCCAGACCACCTTTTGCAGGATCCATTGCGACTATATCATGGTGCTTATGAGAGTAAATGAGCTCATGAGCCTGTGGACAGCTGTGGACTCACTGGGTCATGTCAAATCAGCGCGATTTTATGTCACAAGTAGGATATATACAAATAACTTTTGTTCGACTGACTCAAAAATCATTATAAATACGGCCAATTCTAGCTAATACAAACATTTCGAGGCCTTATTAAGGTCCCCCTGAACACGGAAAGCGTAGAGGAGAATGAGCAGTAATTTGACGAGGAGAAGAGGAGAAAAGTGGCGCGGAACACGTGACCGGGCGCGTCCTTTGTTTGCACAGCCACCTTACACCCATCTGTTCGGGACATTCCGTTCAACCAACGCTCAACAACTTGTCGACGTACCGTCAGGTCGAGCTCGGTTCCCAGCTCGTCGTCACTGTCGCCGTGGCCAACAATGTCCATTTGGGACATCGGTAAAGACGACATTTCAGAACATACTCAAGCACTCAAGGACACTGCGGCAAGCAAAGGTTAAAGCATAGCTAGTTTGTTCAACAATCAGTTGCTTACTTTTTGATTTCACTCATGTTCAGAAATCGAGAATGCTGGTCTACGAAACCAGTTACTTAAGCGTGACACAGAGCTCAATGAGCTGAGATCGACTTTAAACGAAACCCTGCACAAGGTAAGTCATCGCCTCGATTTAATCTTTGATTAATCTGATGCCTATTATTATACAGCTGTCCTATGAGGCAGACCGTGCACTCCGCCTTGAATCAGACCTGGCTCATGTCTCCGAAGACTTGACTAATCACAAAGTCACTTCACAGAACGCCGAACAAGCATTGGCAGCTGCCAATGCGAAGTTGCGCGCTTCTGAGCTCAACGAACGTGAGCTACAAAGCCATATCGAGGTATTGAGTCATCGCCAGGATGAAGCCAAGGACCAGACATCGAAACTCGAGAAAGAGAAGAAAGTGTTAGAGGTAAGGGTCAGAGAGTTAGACGGAGAAATGAGGCAGTTATCTGCTGCGACGTTGGGGAATTCGAAGAAGGCTGGGCGAGCAAGATCCTCGTCTGTGTCGGCGGCAAACTTCAAAGCCACGGCGATGGAACAAGAGTTGAGTGACATTCGCACGTCGCTCGCTGCTAAAGAAGGCGATTTGCAATCTGCACACGAGAAGCTCGGTCGTGCCCAAACTGAGCTAGTGCAGACCCAGAACGAACACATTGCAATGGAGAGAAAGATGAAAAAGCAGATCAGCGAGCTGCAGGCGTCATTGGAAGAGAAGGAGGATGAACTCGAGAATATGAGGGCACAACAAGGCGATGGCGGACGGGAGCGAGAGGAAGAATTGATGAAGAGGGTGGAGGAGGACGAGGCTAAGATAATGGCGTTAGAAATGTTGGTCAGTGAGAACCACAAGCTGATGTCGATCAAGGACACACTGGGAAGAGTAGAGAAACAACTGAAGATCGAGAGTCAGAGGGCGGAGGAGAGCGAGAGTCGCTGCGTCGAACTTGCTAAGCAGAAGGAGGAGGGGATGGTCGAGTTGAAACAGGCCAGGAGGAACATTCGCGATAAAGATGCGCTTATCCGGGCTTTGAACCTCAAGGAAAAGTCGGTATTTGCTATCCGTTCATTCTTTTCACCACTAAAGCACTTGATCTCTCTAGGGAACTACTGGCGCAAATTGCCTCCCTTCAAGCCGACAGCGATAGAGTGCGGGCACTCTCTGTGGACTCCGATACAACGGCGCACATTGCTACTCTTCTTGGGGCCATCGAACGACTTCGTGGTGAAAGGGACAATCTGAGACGCGATTTGAACTTTTTGGAAAGCGAGAACAAGTTCGCTGTTCAGGCGCTAGAGGCCAAAGTCGTGTCTGTTGCGCCAACAGTGCACGAGAACGGGCAAGAGCAACATATCAAATCTTTGACTTTGGCTGCTACGGCTTCCACCATCATGGTTGGACACCTACAGACGCAACTCGAGGATGTTTCTGCTGATTTCGCCAGCCGGTTGGCCGATACTATCCGGGCTTCGCATGCAGACATCAAGGCTGCCCATCGGGAGACCAAGCAAGCCCTGGACCAAGCGAGAGCTCAACTCTCTGATCTTGCCAAATCACTCGAAGAAGCTGAATCGGAACGCGACTCCCTTTGTCTCCAAGTTACCAACCTCGAGTCAGATCTGGCTATGGCCCAAGAAGATCTCACAGAGGCCGAAGGCCGATATAGTGCCCTCCAAACACAACAATTCTCGTCAATGTCGTCTACCGAGGTAGCACGGACTCTGCGGCAGCAGATCGAGGAACTCGAGATGCGTGTATTAAGACGGACGGAACAAATTGGGATTCATCAACATGATATCAAGAGGCTGGAGACCAATTTGAGACTGGAAGAGGAGAGACTTGGCGAAATGACGAGCGAACTAGAGACGCTTGGGGAGCAGAAGGAGGCTATGGTATGGGATTGTGCCGATGCCAGAGAGGCCAGGGATGAGGCTCTTCAGAAGTGCGAAGGTCTCGAAATGGAGCTTGAGGCTTTGGAAGGACGATTAGAGACATCCGAGAGGGAGAGGCAACAAGAGGTAGTGACATTGGTTGAGGTTATTGCGGAGACAACCGTTCGGTCAAGGAACATTCGCAGGCGCAGCGTTAAGAATAACGACAGCGCTGCTCAAGCCCTGCAGGCCACTTTAGCACTGGCCGTCGCTCACGTTGAGCTCAAGAGTAAATCCGCGTCTCTTGAGGTCTCCGATAAAGCCAAAGCCGATCTTCAGACGAAGGTGGAGGTGCTTCAAGAGGGCCTCACTAAGAAGGTTGCAGAAACGACACGCTTGGAGCAGCAGCTTGCTGACCTCCGGCAGCGCTCTGATGCCCATGCCATCTCCGAATCGCAAACAATAGATCAACTTCGTGGGGAACACTCCGAGCAGATGGCCACATTACAGAAGATGTTTGACGGGACTGTCTATGAGCTACAGGAAGCCAAAGCACTCCATTCAGATGCCGAGGTTCATCATCAAAAAGTCATAGAAGAAGCCAGCCGATCAAAAACAGATCTCGAGAGCCGTTTGGCTGCTGCGTTGGAGCGAACACAAGCCGTGGGTCACCTTGAGGGCGAGTTGGCGAAAGCTCATACCGACCATGCTGAGGAAGTCAACGGACTGCAGGAGCAAATCCGACGCGCTGACCAACAGCTACAAGAAGTCATTCGTTTCCGAGCTGAGCTTGAAGCTCTTCATCAGACTACCGCGACGGAACTGACTCAAACCAGGGATGACTACGAGGCTCAACTCTCAAAAGTGACACTGCTGTCTTCGGATGCTAGCCGGCAACTGGAAGACGATTTGGCTGCCATCAAAGGCCAACTGAAACATTCGGTGGAAGAACTTAAATGTCTTCAAGTACGGCTACAAGAGGAAGTCGACGCCCGCGACAGCGAAAGGCAAACACACACCTCGGAGCTACAGGCGAAAGCTGAGGAATGTCGCCGTGCAGAGTCCCTCGAGGCCGAACTCCATCAAGAAATTGCCGTCACGCGCACGCAGCTAGATCAAACACAAACTGCACTGCAAGCCTTGGAGGCCGAGAAGAGCGCCCTGCAGATCGAGACTACAAATTTGGGGGCTGAGATACAGCGGACTGTTTCGTTGAATCGGTTTATGGAAGGCGAAATCAAAGCATGGTGAGCAACGTCTTCTATTTACGATATATAAACACACACTCACGCCCCCCCTCTCTTACCCAGTCAAAGTCGAAATGCGTCCCTTCAAGAAGCTCTGGACAATATGCGGGCAGAACTATCACGCTCAGAAAAGTCCGGGAAGGAGGCCGAGATCAATCTCTCTCTGCAATCTGTCCGAACTGACCAGATAATATCTGGTCTTCGCCGCGAGTTAGCCACTCTCAAGTCGCATCCCAAGCTTGACAATGTTGTAGCGGAACTTGAGGAAAAAAATCGCGATATGGATGAATTGTTGAAGAGTAAATGCGTGGAAATCGAGGATCATGACGATCGCATTCTTGAGTAAGCCTGTGTCCAGTCCTGACAGTCAGACCATCAATCTCAAAAAATGAAACAGGATGCTTAAAGAGAAGAAAAAGCTGACGACCAAGGTCGAGTCTCTCACTCGCAAAGTGCAAAGCTTGCAAAACAAACTTGCTGGGGCCAAAGGTCCGGTTCCAGGTCCAAGCGTTGAGAAAGTCGTTTCGCCACCAACTTTATCCAGCTCCGTCGCCACCCTGCCTCGATCAAATTCCATTCCTCCTGCCTCTACTACCCGCGATCCTACGACCCCCGTTACTCGTCCAACAAAACGCGTTGTTTCTGGTCCGGCCTCTCTGTCGAGACCGAAGACGCCAGAACGCAGACAGGCGCAGCCGGCCGTTTTCAAAGCAAAGACACCTGAAAAACGAGTGTCCTCGACGCCTTTCACCGCCGAGCCTACTGCCGAGGCAAATATGCCAACATCGAGTTCGATATCTTCCGTCGGCAAGAAGCGTGCACGCCCCGAAGAATTTGATGATATTTGTGTACCCGTACAAGCTCTCTATGCAGAGCAGGAGCGCGAGAATGCCACCCCTCGATTGCGAAAAGCTCTTCATTGTGTCCAAGGACACACCGGCTTTACTCCCGTGCGACGGACCAAGCCTCGGGCCTCAAATGGAGCGCCGTCACCTGGCAGAAGGATTTCGATGGGTATAACTGACGTGACTAATAGTCCACGATCAATGAC